AGTTTAACGAAATCTTACATTGATGAACCAAATCGAAATACGCAGAATCAGTTATCCGACTAGAAATCACACATGGAAACAATTGTAGCCTCTGTACAACGAGACATGCCTCCTCATACAAGTCCAATTGAATTCAAAATCCCTTCAACATCCGAACATACAGAAAACGTTGAAAGATCGATCGACCTTTTGACCCTTCACCCTTTGACATTTCTAGGACGAATCACGTTCTATGATCGAGAAGATAGTGTTACCAACCAATTGATCGTAAGCCATTTATTAATTTTTACAAGTTTTTTTTCTACATTTTTAATATGCATAGAGGAACTAAATGTGGATGATGGGAATTAATTCGATTTGTGTAATGGGTTTTATGGAAAATGGAATGAGGGGATTGCTGCTAGATATGTGAAAGTGATATCGGGCTCTACCACTCATTTCGCAGTCGATGCTACAATTGTCCATCAATTAACTGGTTACCAGTGAAATTCTCTTGATGTTGATATTAGAAAGTTCTTAATGCAACTTGCAATTAATACATTAAAAGAAGTTGAAGCATTCATGACTAAAAATCCTTCAGATATTGTAACAATAATAATTGAGGGCTATGTGCATACCCCAAAGGGGTTGACAAGAGTGTTTAGTGATGCGAGAGTGGACAAGTATTGGTATCCAGTGGAAAAGATGCCTAAGAAGGACGAGAATTGTCCCACTATTAATGATATGGTACAAAATAATCATAGATTGCTTGTTTTTAATTTTGATTCTTTGAAGGAGGCTGGTGAAGGAATTGCATATCAATTGAGGTACATGGTGGAGAATGAGCGCTAGTACTATGTAAACGTGTGATGGCTTATCAATATGATTGATACGTGCTTTTGCAGTAGAAATCTTACAAAATGGTTTGTTCGAGGTGGGGATCTAGGGGTGGTACCTGGTTCGTGCCCAAACAGAAAGGAATTGAAGCCACTCATTTCGAGAAATTCCTCTCTTTTAGATGAATTACTTCCCAATGATTTCAGTTCAAAATGAGGCTGGCAAAGAGCATTCTTCTCCACTTGCTG